GAACCTTTTATGGAGTACTACTATAGGTCAAAAAGGAAAAAGAGGAGACGGGCTCCAAGTCAGAACCAACCAAAACCCGCCAGCAAATAGATCGTGCTTAAATTAAATGATGGAGCCAGACGATCCACGGAAAGGCAGGCGGCCGTTCCTTGTCTTTGGAACCAATGACGCTCCAACGCGGGCTTAATTCGTCAAACATTGAGATCAATGATCAATCATCTTTGGGGAATATCACTTGCACTTTGCATGTTTCCCTGGGGTAGTTAAGTAGGGTTACGCTTTTCCGTTGTAGATGTGGTCGTATTCGAGTCAGGTACAACTCACACCCGTCTTTTGCAGTTCCATTGTTCTTTTGTATACTCTTTCCGTTTTCAAAATTTCGTTCCATTCCCGGTCATAATTGGATCCTTGTCCCACCCGCGGGAGAGGTACCGGGTTGATTTGTAGTATCGGATGTATATCCATCGTACGTCAATTTTTTTTTTCTGGGAGTTCTGTAATTATTGTATATATATACTTCTCTTGACAACCATGGCAACTGCAAAAAATCACCCCAGTTACCATACCCTACCCTACACAGCTCCAGAATTCCGAGCTCCTTCGTTAATCCACCCATACACTCACACTGACAACCCTATATCGTAGGAGTATAAAGAGAAACCGAGGATAGTCAACTCCTTTCCTAGGATGGTAGTAGCCTTGCACAGCTATCCATGTCTGCCTCATCTCGTTTCCTTCACCAACCGGCGTCGTCTCCACCCGAACGAGACATTAGTACTCGAAAAGTGGAGGGCGATCGGACTGTGAGGCTTTTTGATTTGATTAAATCGCATGGCTCTTTTTTGGTTGGTCGCAGCCTGATCGAATTATTACCCGGAACGGATTAAAAGTACCTGTACTAAACTAACTGTTATTTTTCCCAGCAGATCCGGATCTCGTTTGATACTGGGTATTTTCATAATTCATTAAATAAAAATTTTGTAGTGGAAAAAAAAGAGGTCCCCATTCAGTGGATCTGCGGATACATTAAAAAAAAAAAAAAGACAGTAATAAAAAAAAACCTGTCAAATCATTACTAAATTACCAACAGAGAAAAAGAAAAACATAAGAAAAAATCCCCTCTCTTTGCAACCAATTCTTCGGTCGAACTTGATATTCTTCTCCTTCTTTCACAACGCTCTTCTTCTTCTTCTTCCGCTTGACTGTCAACTCGTCTCGGTGTCTCAGGTCAAAGAACTGTTGATCATAAAGGGCTTTCGAGGCAGGTCACACTGTACGCATTCCTCCACTCTCTCCCTTTGTCTAGGAGGAGCTCCCATCAGAACCTTCCTACCAACCTTCGACCACCTTCCCACTCGCCCTATCTTCGTTCAAACCTCCTCGCCTCTTTGTCTTGCTCCTGTGGTCGTCAATTACAAAGATAGAGGATTATGCTCTAATTTTCAGTTTCTTTATTTTATCTCATTTTATTTTCTTTCCGACGGGGTTCATTCATAAATTTCTTCTCTCTGAGCTAGGTGGCCTTCTAGCTTCGGCTTCAAATGAGCTTGTGGAGGCGTACCTTTATCCGCCAATCGATCCCTACCGAACCCCTCCACTCTAACATTCCGGACGGCTCCCAAATATCTGGACATCGCCCCAGAGGGTTGCCTGGCAGCTTGTGTTGAATGGTTGCTAGGATCACAGCGTTGCTGACATGAGTTGGGATCACCCCGTCCACAGGTATGTTGGTCAATCTATCTACGCCGGACCTAATTCCTTTGGCCCCCAGGCGGGGCTTGTTTCTACACCCACTAGTTCTGTATCGAAATACTGTGACAGATTCTATCGTCTTGCCTAAATTGTCTCGACTCACATTGTTTCTACATTTTGTTGTGGCGTACACCCAATTGAGGTGGTTGGGATATTGGTTTTGTGGTCCGCGGAGCTCCAAACGAGCTCCGTCTCATTACCCCGAAAGATGAAGCTGACCGAGCCTGCGATCATGTTCAGCTTCAGCTATCCCAACGGCGAACCTCAGACACCTACGAGGACTCCTCCGACCACGATCTTTGACGATTCGGCCTTTCAAACCCCCAAGCTCGAATCGAGCTTCTTCGACCCCAGAGTCACCTGGGACACCTCGGATCCATATGCTTCGAGCCCAGAGTTCCTCCGAACCCCCCAGAAGTTCGGACTGAGTACACCTTTGAATAACCCCCTCCGACTGCCAAACACGGGCGCAGAGTCAGTCAATGGACGGAACCTGAAGGAACCGGAACAGGAGACGGATACAGCCAAGCGCATCCGGGCGACCAAACCCAATGGACACATTGAAGAAGAAGGTCCCCGGACGGTGGAATCAACCAAATCGGCTGCCTCGATGCAGACCCCGCCGCCCAGCAGTGCTTCCAGGAGAAAGGTGACTGGGCTGGAGAATGTCAGTGGGACGGGACGACGGCCGTCGGCCTCGAGTGCCATCGGTGGGCATCTGGAGACTCCAAGCCGTTTAATGGGAGCGTCCCCTAGGCTGTTTGGCGATCTGCAAACGTCTCCGGACCCCTTCCAGCTGGCCGGCATTGATCCATCCGCGTCTCCTTTCTTTCCTCAGCAGAGGTTGTTCTGGGATCATGACCTCGAGCCGCAGGGCGGGGACTTGGGCTTGTCCGGAAGTAACATTGACTTCTTTGATAACCATACGACTGATTCATTTCACATGAACCACCCGTCCTTCTCCCAGGCCCCTCACATCCCGCAATTGCCGTCGATTGAGGGAACCCTAGATCTGCCGGAGTTCAACAGCAATGCATATGGTCTCACCTCTGCGGCTCCCACCGATGCTGCCCTATTTCCCGCTCCTTTCTCGACCTCCCCCCGTATTCCCATCCACAAGGCGGAAGACCCAGCCATGTTTCTGAGCTCTCCGGCCCGTCGCTTCGGAGGACCCCAGCCTAGTCCGGACAAGAGACTTTTCTCGAGACCAGGACGTCAGCCCTACCATCACCAGACCGAAGAATCTAAAAGGGAGCAACTTCGACGCACGCAGAGTGTGCACCAGAAGCTGCCCACGTACATCGACGATGACGACGACGATTTCACTCCTCGACAGGCACGACCGACGCTGACTCGGAGTCTCACCCAGAGTGCTATATCCGCACAGCGTCCCGGGTTCGGTGGAATGATGTCGTCTTCGTGTGGTATCCGGAAGAGCCCTTCCAAGAGATCCTCACCCACAAAACCCCAGCGGCAGCCACTGCAGCGCTCCAATTCAGTCGCTGCTGGCCTTCCCAGGCGCTCCCAGTCCGTTGTCCTACGGATTGGCAAGGACGGTAGAGCGAAGGCAGAGATGCAACCCGTCACTGAAGCCGCTACTGGGCTGTCGGACCCTCTCACTGGGATGGACTTGGATGGTTCGACGACCGAAAGCGAATATGACTCGACAGAGTTTTCGGAGTATCCCACCGTTTCCAGCCGGAATCCCTCGATAACTTTTTCTGATTCGGGCTCCCGGCCACATTCCAAGGGCTCCTACACCTCTACTGCGGCTTCATCCCAATCGGGCCGGGCATCACCTTGGAACGGTTCTTCTCGGGGTCTAGCCAGGAGGCCAACTTATAGACAGGGTCTGGATGATTGGAAGCGTACGCCAAAGCGGCAATCCATGATCATCCCGTCCGACATGGCCTACCGCAGCGCCAGCTCGATTCCAGCACCCTTAGCTGACTCGGAAGAGGAATCTGGCGATGCCCAGCATGCACTCCGAAAGGTACTTCAGGAGAGAGGCCGCATTCCTCGGTCCCACACGGTCAACTTCGGCTCACGGGTCAACCGATCGTCACGCTCCTTGGCGCACCTCCGTTCCTCACCACCCCGATTTGGCGCCGAATTGGATCTCAATCTCAAGGCCCCGAACACGTCCCCCACGACCATGACGGATCCTGATCTGGCAACCCCAAGCACCGACCGATACAGCAATCCAAGCAATGGAACCAGATGTATCTGTAATTCCATGGACAATGGTGGCCACTTGATGATTCAATGGTATTTACCCTCTCCACGAAACCTTGCAACCAGACCAGGAAACTGATTTGATATAGTGAATCGTGCAGCCACTGGCTACATACCAAGTGTGTCGGTCTGGAGCGAGCTAACTTGCCATCGGTCTATGTCTGTGTGTTCTGTGCCCATACTCCATCCCGGAGAAATCGTATCCGGGTCCCTGTCGGTAACGTTGGCCATGCACCAACGTCGCCATTAGCCCACAAATCCTATCGATTCCGGTAAAAGAAATTATGACGACGAACCCCCCACATCCGCAGGCAAGCAAGCAAGCAATTTGCGCGCCTGTCATGGATAGATCATGACACGATTCGCGTCAGCCTTTCCCCTCGGCCCTCATGATGAGGTCCCTTGACTGACGACCACACTCGTTCTTGTTTTCTTTATTTTCTTTATTTTTTTTTTTTTTCTTAACGGGTCTCCTTTGTTCGTTGTGCGATAACCTTAGACATACCCCCCCATATTTCCTTGAAACATGTTTTGGCTCACCATTGTACATTGGTGGCTATGTTATTATGCATCCCTGGTGAGATACTGCCGTTTATTATTTCTTTCCTAATTTTTGTATTAATTGCCAAGGCGAGCGGCCTACGTGATACCTATGTACTACTGTAACTAGTGACTTTGGACAAAATCAGGATGGAGCCCGTGGCCCATCAACTGGATAGGACCGAGTATTCTGAATGAACTGTACTTAATCAACGATTCCATCGTGAACGTCCATTCATTCCTTAAAATAAATAAATAGGAAAAAGGGTACCTGGGCGGCTATTCTCGGACTGATATCCGGTTCCTTAAATCCGCTGCAAAGGCGGTGACGGGACCCTTGCCGACCCTCTGGAATTGGCGCTCTGTCATTGGTGGACCTGGCACCTTATCGGGCTCACCGCCTCCGATAGCGCGTGTGGTTCCTGTAAATGATTTTCTTCTTCCGTGACTCTTTTTTCCACCCCCTCCTCCGTCCTGCCCCCCCAGTCGCTCACTCCAGGAACCCTTCTCGAGAGGTGCTGCCTTTGCCATCTGTGACGCTCCCTCTCCGGCCATGTCCAGCTCCATTCCTGGCAATCGGGATCTCCCTCCCTCTCAGTATGACCTGAGTACATACTGGGGCCGTGTGCGACACTCGGCTGACATCGCCGATCCGAGGTATGCTCCCTCCGACTCCTCATGACTGAGAGCCCTGCCAGCATGATATTGTCCATGCGTCTGGTTTACTGTGCCTGGACTAAGATTCATTAGGATGTTATTCATTTCCTCGTCGGGGCTGGACAGTGCGAAGCAGCTCATTTCCTCGTATAAGCAGAGCCACATTCCCGCTATGACACCCGAGTTGTGGCGTGCGAAGAAGGTCGTCGATTCCACACTGCACCCAGGTCCGTTGCCAAAGCGATATATCTTGAATAGGTCTAACTAACCCCCTTAGACACCGGCGAACCGGTTTTCCTTCCCTTCCGCATGTCCTGCTACGTTATGACCAACCTCGTGGTGACAGCCGGCATGCTTACCCCCGGGCTGCAGGTAGGAGGAACCCTTGTGTGACACACAGCCAGGTCATCGGCTAATACGAGCTTGTCAGACCACTGGTACACTTCTTTGGCAGATTGCAAACCAGTCGCTGAACGTTGCCGTCAACAACGCAAATGCGAACAAGTCCACCCCTTTGTCCTACTCCCAGATGGCCAAGTCATACCTGATGGCCGTGTCGGCATCGTGCTCGGTGGCACTGGGTCTGAACGCTCTCGTGCCCCGTCTGAAGGGTTTGTCGCCCAGCACTAAACTCATGCTCGGCCGACTGGTACCCTTCGCTGCCGTGTCCAGCGCCAGCGCCCTGAACGTGTTCCTCATGCGTGGTGAGGAGATCCGCCAGGGTATCGACGTCTACCCGGTTTTGTCGGAGGCTGAGAAGAAGAAGCGGGAGGAGACCGGCGAGCCGATCCAGAGCTTGGGTAAGAGCAAGAAGGCGGCCACCATCGCCGTGGGTGAGACTGCGGTCAGTCGTGTGCTGAACGCGACCCCGATCATGGTCTTGCCACCGTTGGTTCTGCTCCGGTTGGAGAAGACGGCGTGGCTCAAGGCTCGGCCCCGTATGGTGCTTCCTCTAAACCTGGGATTGATCTTTGCTACATCCCTGTTTGCCCTGCCGTTGGCGTTGGGAGCCTTCCCGCAGCGCCAGGCTATCAGTGCGCAGTCTTTAGAGGAGGAGTTCTGGCAGAAGGGTGGCAAGGACGGGATGGTTGAGTTCAACCGGGGGATGTAAAGCTCCCCCGATTTAGTTTGCATGGTTGACGTTTGGGACACAGCTTTGTTTAATTTCATTTCTTCCGTTTCTATTACCCTTTTGATGTTGGCGCATCATGGACAGGAAAGGTTCAGTCCGTATATACAGGCTATGGATAGATTACATAGATATCTTACTCTCTTATTGAACGGTTTATAGAGTTACAGCTACTCTGTATGCCCACTGCGCAAACTCATTCATACACCCTTCGTTTCTCCAACGCAAAGGCAGCCCTAGATGTGCCCAATACGGTAGTCCCAATCCAAACGCAACTCAAGATGTATAGCATACTTCTTCCCACTAAAGCGCTCCAGAATGAGCTGCCCCATCGTAACCAGATTACAGTACGCGAATTGTATTGGCAATCTAGACAATGAAGAGAGAGCTTACATCCCATCCGCAAACACAACCCTTAATCCTCAGACCAAATCTCCTCTACCACACATATTACTGTATTTAATCATCTTATAATTCCCACTCAGAACCTAAGAATATGCATGATGTAGAGTATATTACCAAAAAAACAAGTCACAGTTGATCACCCTCTTATGGAAGCAAATCAGGAACAGAATCCTAAGGACGTGCGTGACTTGAGTAGCCAACCCTCATGGATTCAACCCCGACCCTGCACTAAAGGACGTCGGTTTTGGTATATTCATTTTCACTCCATATTTCATTTGATACTCTACAAGGAGTTCCAAGCATAGTTTATACATACCAGTAGTTCAGACAGTTTACAAATACCAACCACAATTCGACCTAAAGGGTCAGTACATATATCTCCAATATAACAAACACATCACATCACATCCCTAATCCCAAACCCAAGAACACCAATACAAACCATACAACTATACATTGACCCCCCAAAACAGAATAATATAATCCGACAAACCCCAAGTCTCAAATAAATTAGTCCCAAATCCCAGGAGAGAGAGAGAGAGACACCCTACCCTAACTCAAACCCCCGAAAAATGACTCACGCACTCACGCACTCACCGAATAAATTCCCAGCCCCATAAAACCCACCCCAATATCTCCTTGACGCTTTGAACAGAACACCAATCCACATACTTGATATTTCTAAGCTTTTCGCAATGATATCCTTCCAAACTACCCGCCTTGATATTCGACCCCTCGTCCTCTCCGATGCAGAGGATGTCTTTGAGATGCGTCGGGATCCGGAAGTTGCGAAATGGGGGTTCGTTTCTAATTTTTTTTTTCTTTTTTGGTTGTGTTGATTTTGTTTTATGAATGTTTTATTCTGTTATCTGTTATTGATTAGTATAGTGCTTGTTCAATGCTAACTGGTAGAATAGGTCACGCGGAACACCGGATACGACTATTTCCCAGACGATAGACTGGATGCTATCATCTTGCGGTCCAGCAGTGTCTGATACCAATGATACTACAATATCACCGAAAAAACCTTATCCGAATATCATATTCGCTATTCGGGAACTACAGCCAAGTACTCTATATCCCGAACCGAAGGTAATCGGGACGATTGGCATCAAGCGGTTGGCGACGCCTTTGGGGCCGGCGGGGTCGAATCGGGTGCGGTGGGAGTTGGGGTACGGGTTTCGTGTTGGTGCTTGGGGGAAAGGGTATGCGACGGAGGCTGCGAGGGGGGTATTGGGCCATTTTGGCGAGATTAAGCGGGTTTTAGAGGGGCAGGGGCAGGGGGATGATGCTGTGGTTGTTGCGGATGGATTGTGGGCTGCTACTGCGGAGGAGAATTTAGGGAGTCAGGCTGTGTTGAGGAAGTGTGGGTTTGGGTTTGTTGGGGAGTTTGTAGATGAGCTTGGGAGGAAGAATTTGGATTTTCAGGTATTGGTTTGATAGTATGTTTCATGGTTGGTAGATGTACATATCGAGGCAAGGTCTGCGAAGGTTATATACGTGTATACTGTACCTGTCTAGAAGTTATGTATATGGTTAGTTTAGGTGCAAAATGGGCGGTTTTCTTGCCGTGAGGACGGATTCGAATTCCTGCGCGATGTCTAACAGCTCCTGGTCTTTCCAGGGTTGGCCCATTAGTTCGATGCCGATGGGGATGCCCAGTGGTGCGGAGGGCGTCTCGGGACTGAACCCTGCTGGAAGGATATGAGCACTTGACAGTCTAGTATCTATCCAGGCATCCACCACAAAGGCGCATTTGGATATGGATCAACATACCAGGGAAGCAAATAGCCGGTCTTCCTGTCAACGCCGCCAGAATCCCGTTTCTACCTGGCTGAACTGTGCACCCCACACTTGCAACAAGCTGTCTCTGATGCGGATACACTAAGGCCGTGAGTTCATACTCCTGGAAGCACCGTTCCACTGACTCCTTGAGAGATTCTATCCTCTCAAGTCGGGAGTAGTACTCGGGGCTTGTGGGAGTGAATTCACCGCCTTGGAGTGTCTGGTCGAACACGGCTGTCATGGCTTGGGAGTTGTATTGGCCACTTGCTGCGATGGCGGCCAAGGATTTTTGCGGCGTGGTTACGGTTTGTGAGTTGAGGAATGCGTCAAGTACGGTGCGGAGTTCGTAAGCCTGGGTGTCTGCTTTAGTGCGGAGGCGTAAGACGTCCCAGTCGGGCATATGAGGAATCTCAACGAGGTCAATGGATGGTGAGTTGATTCTAAGCCTAGCTAATGCGTCATAGATGGTTTTGTTGATCGTTAAACCTTCGGTCGTGGTCCCGTCGCTGAAGTAGTCTTTTACGATGCCTAGTTTTATTTTGGACGCACGTATATGGCTGAGTGATTGATATCGTAGCGGGTTCGAGGTCGCGGGATCTCCCAGATCTTCTCCTCTCATTGCCTCGAAGAGAATCCGCACGTCCCCCACCGTTCGACCCATCGGCCCGGCAACATCCTGTGTTTCTGTAACTGGAACAATGCCTCTCCGGGAGACCTGTCCCCGAGTCGGCCGGAAACCAACCACTGCGCAGGCAGACGCTGGGGACCGCAGTGAGTTCATTGTGTCGCCGCCACAGCCTACCAGTCCCATGTTAGTCGCCAGGGCGACGGCTGTGCCACCGGAGGAGCCGCCAGGGGTGCGGGTGAGGTCATAGGGGTTTAGGGTTTGACCGCCGAGTGAAGAGAGTGTAATTCCCTCCAGCGAGAACTCGTGCAGGTTGGATTTGGCCAAGATAATGGCGCCATTGTTTAGGAGGTTCTGCACGACTGTGCATGAGGTGTCGGTCGTTAGGGTGCGAAGAGCTTGAACGCCAGATGTAGTGGGAAGAAAGGCAGTCGTATAAGTGTCTTTTAGAATTACTGGGACGCCGTGCAGAGGTCGGAGAGTGAGTTGAGGGTTGTCCCTGTCGGTATTGTCAACGCAAGACGCGAGTTCCTGGTCTTTCTGGTGTGCTTCATGCAGGGCGTTAGGGTTGATGGCTAGAATCGCTTTCAGGGTGCTGTTGTACTGGTTTATCCGGGTGATATACGCTGTGATTGCTGCGACGCATGTCGTTCGTCCATGGATGAGTGCCGAGTGGTATTGAGATATCGTGAGCTCATGAAATGCGCAAGGCACGTCCGGGTTGGTCTCAATACTGCCCATGATGTGTTGAAAGAGAGGTGGGTTTGGCTGCCAATGGGAATATTCTGAGTATATAACATGAGGGGTTCGTTAAAGAGGGGTATTTGGCCGTAGTCTATGCCACTAGCGTGACTATCGTGCTTAGATCGTCTCGTAGTGTCTCCTGAGATATATCGTGATTTGCTGATCATCATCGCATCAAGTCCGATATCAGCCGCCATCGCGTCAACCTAACAAGGGAAAACGAAAAAGGCACAATTTCAACAGTCGTTAACGTATAGGGGTCGTATAGTCCTATAAGTACAAAGGCAACCATCAGAGTTCCTCTAACAGGCGAGGAAGAACATGCACAGGCATCATTCGGCTATTCTGGCCACCGACGAAGACCCGATGGCACTGATCGTAGTGACCGTCAAACGCACTACCGCGAGAACGAAGAAAAGGAACAATATACCAGACAACTATGCAAGATATAATCCTGTATCATATCACCAGAGCGCCCCAGAAGACGATGAATAAAATCCGATAAAAATGAAGCACATCGACGATGCGGAGAAGATATCAAACGAAGAAAAAAACAAGACCATATCCCACAAGCCCCAGATCCTGACCCCCAGTTGTGCGAATAGAAGTGAGAAAAAAATAAAAAGTAAAAACAAGCATGTCCTCCGTAATAAATAAATAAATAAGAACCCATACTGGCGTCGTTACACTTTTGTCCATTCCTTCCGGTCGCTGCATTCCTTCAGATGTCGATGGCTTCTTCGAAGAACCGCTAGAAAGCTGGGCCATTTCTCCCGTGGGCATCCCATTTTAGCCCCAGAGACAACCTGTCGGCAGTCTCCGCTGCATTATCGATCATCGTGGACATGGCTATCATCCCGATGATGCATATAACCAAAAGAATAAACCATCTATCGTAACTTATAAACCCGTACTCATGCAAATTACAGACTGGCTGGCCATCGAGGCACCAGTGTCTTATAGCCACTTGAGATCAACACGACGATGACTCGCCGAAAAGGTACTCATCAGAGGTACGTGTCGGTCTAGCGGCGTTGGGTGTTGCGCTGCAACTGCTCCCCAATCCGCAGAGCTTCAGTGCCATCATCCACGATGGACTCTTTAAACCAGGGGTGCTTGAGAGCATCCTTGGCTGTGATTCGGTTTTTGGGGTCATAAACGAAAATGCGTTGTAGAAGATCCAGGAATAAACGGTGGAACTTGGTGGTGGTGGGAATAAAATCCTGCTACATTTAGCAACGACCTCCGAAGTTGAACGGGTGGAACCGATTACATACTGTCAATTGTTTCATAGCCCTCACATACTTCCGCGAGGCACGAGTGGTTTCATCGTTAGGATAATCAAGCTTGTTGCGGATGAAGTACCTAACACTGATTAGCGCTTCTTCAACACCTAAGGCGGCGACGTAACATACTTGGCTGACTGGTTCTGGCTCCCACTCCGTCCACCTTGCATCACTTGTCTTACAAGACGAGTGTCAATCCGGTCGCCTATTACAGCCTCCATCATGGCAAGATGTTCCAAATTGTCATGGGTTTGGAAAAGAGCGTCCCCGGTGAAGAACTCGACAAGTATACAGCCGATACTCCAAATATCACAAGGGAAACTCCAGCCGAGGTTCAAGATGATCTCTGGCGCCCGGTAATGCCTGGTGGAAACAACGGACGAGTGATATTCGTCATCGAAGGTCGCGGATCCAAAATCAATCAGACGAATCTCGCTGTCCAACAAAACTCGTCTTTGACGTGCGCTGCGGGAGATTGCGTGTGACGATGATGGGATCGTGCGGTTGTAGGTGAAGGTTTGATAGGCATTACTGACAAGGAGGATATTTTCGGGCTTGAGGTCGGTGTGAATAAGGTTGAGATCGTGCAAGACTTATGTGATATCAGTATTGAATTACCGATGCTTGGGGTGGTAGAAGCACTTACATGCCACACTGGTGAACAACTGCCGAGCAAAGTTCTGAATTTGACTACTGGGAAAGGGGACGAAGCCGTTGCCCTTCAGAAAATCAAAAACACTTTGCCCCAGCAAGTCCGTGACAATGCAAATATGGTTGCGATAATCGAAGCAATCGCGTAAATGGATGCATTTGTTTCGATTTTGCCGGTCGTTTGAAGCCAACGTCGACAGCACTCGAAGCTCAATCCGCGACGCGTCCCGGTACTTTTGAATGGAACGAATGATCTTGACCGCAACACGGGTCTTGCGATGCTTATCATACGCTTCCACCACCTTTCCAAACGTTCCCTGGCCAAGGAGTTTGATGATCGAATCTATGAGGTGTCAGTCAAGCACGTATATACAGTCACCAGGGTGTTACTCACATCGGTCTGTTAATGGGGTATCTGGTGTTACAATATAATGACCATCATCGTCATCGAACTTTTCTCCTCGGTTTGCGTACTGCAGTATGTTAAATTCTCCGACCCTAACCATAATGCAAAAAAAAAGGAAAAAGGGTATGAGCCACTTACATCCCGAACCACGGGCACTGGAACATCCTTTGCCTTGATGATCGGCTTGGGAGGTGGAATATAGTTCAAAAACGCATCACCGGCATTCTCTAGCTCTCGCCGTTTCTGCTCGTCTCGAGCAGATTTGCGGGTGGTAACCCGTTTCCGCTTTTGTCCGATATTAGCATCCTCGTAGTAAACACCGTTGCTCGCACCAGAGCTTCCCTGGGAAAGAGAAGTGGGTGCAGTAGTATGCAGAGACGTTGTGCGATCCGTTGAAATCGAAGCAGCAGAAGAATCCTCTCCATAATGCTGAGGATTGATCGAGAACGACGGACGATCATAATATGTCACATCATACGCTGACTCGACCCCGGTGCGCCGTTTCTTTCCCGCGGGCTGGGGTAGGTTTCCGTTGGAGGCAGCCGTCACGGTGGACGTCGTCGCGAGGCTGCGAGCGGAGCCCTTGGGCTGCTCCGGCGGTGGACTATCATCGATGACAATAACTTCCTTCGGGATACCATTCTTATAGAACTCGCCCCAATCTGGCTTTTTCCTCCTTCCGGTCTGGGTTGGGGCCGCGCTAGCGCTGACTCCATTGTGGGTTGGGGGCATGGCTGCCGTGGTCGTTGCCGGCGTGAGAGCCGCCGAGACGATCTTTGGAGATTGTGTAAAGGGTAGGGTGGCAGTTGCCGGGTTGACGGCGTAGGGATAGGTGGTGGCAAGGCGAGAGGTGGCCGCGGCGGACGTGGTCGGATAGGGAGGGTTCGGTTGGTAGGGCGGGTGGTGAGGATATCCGTAGTGCTGCTGATGATGCGTAGGGTGTGTCGCAGTGGCGGTGGAGGGAGTCGACATGGTGAGGAGAGAAATCCAGCCGGTCGTCGGAGCGGCGGATGCTGGCGAAGCACGAGAGAAGAATTATGAAGGGTAGAGGAGGTCTAACCCCGTCGGATCGCAGTAGACCGTCGTAATCTACTTTTTTGGGGGGGGGTTTTGTGGTGAAAAGACAGGGGACTCGAAACACCAGGTCGGAAACCCGGAGTTTCTCGTAATGCTCCCAGTCGATTTGATAGACGGCAAATCCGATTGACCACGCAAAGAATGAAAGAGGTAAAAAAAAAGAAAACAACAAAAATTGGCAATGAAGCAAAAGTCGTCCTGGGGAAATATAGACAGAGAGGCGATGTGGACGAGAGAAGAAGAGAGCAGATGGGAGCGAGAGTCAGTTGAAAGGCGTGGGGGATGATGACTGAGAGGCGGTCGGAGCAGCGAAGCCTTCAGAAGGTAAATACTAGTAGGAGGAGGAAAATGGGGAACATTGCATGGGAATAAATTGGATGGAGGGAACGGTAGGATTCACGTTTGTCTGATTTGCTTCGCTTGGACAATGGGCTGTACCATTGACATCGGTTTCGGTACGTAAAAACCAGGCAGGGGAGAAGAGAACAGGTGATTGATTTATTACCTGGACGGAGTCGGAAGGGGAATCGAGAGAGAGAATGTGAGGCTGCTGCTGAGGCGAAACGGATCAATAGGATACAAAAGAAATAATAATAAATCAAGGAGAGAATACAAACAATACAACAAAAGGAGATCGATCAAGTAAAAGGGATTATGCACCGAATCATCATAATAATTATTGTAAGAATGGAAAAATAAACATATTGTATGGAAGGAAAAGAATAATTCTGGTGAAAAATATCAAAAGACCGATATTCAGTGCCTCGAGAAAAATCCCCCGAACTAACGACACACGGCGAAGATGTTTTGGCAAATGCCAATTGAACGAATTAATGGCCAACTCGTGGAGGTTGAGCAGGCATTGGTTTCGGTCATGACACGCACCAGCGGTTTTCCAACCGACAGCAACTCCTGGGGTGGACCGCCCGTCTCTCTTCTGGTGGTTAATCTAATTAATTAATCTATTTCTGTCGTCAAGCAGATTCAGATCGTGCAAGACGCAGGCAAGGTGATCTCTTCAACGTGTCTTAGGGTTGTTGTCTCATTCGGTTATAGTACTACTCGTACTAAAGGTACATCCTTCCATACATGATCGATCTATACAAGGACAGGCATACATAGAAAGAGTATATCTGTGAGGAGAATGAGCCAGATATGGCCCCGAATGGAAATCCCCTATGGAAACGACGCAACAGCCGACGTTTAACCATCGCACACACAGCCATGGGACTCGCAGATCGCAAGGCTCATCAAAGTGCACTGCAGCGCCCGGGGCAACCCAGTCATGAATAGCGCCGGGAGTCTAGCCTTACTCGTCCCATCCACTCCCCCATTTATAGGTAAAAAATACTAAATACCGCCGTCCCCAGAGCAGCACAAGGGCTCCTCTTTTTCCTCCCCGGATACAGAAACATTCTCGAAATAATTTAAAATGAATCAAATTCTTCCAAATGCCAATATATATCATAATTAGGGGTAACACGAAGCTTTTCTTTCCCCCCTTCTCCTATCCTAGCGAAAATGCAATGTCGATCTGAGGTTGGTTGACAAACGGTGTGGCGACGATGGGGAAAGCCCATGTGTGTCGAAGGCGTTTCCTGTCGACCGGAGCAACCACTGCTTGTACTGAAACACAGTTTTACTTGATTAATTACCTCGCAGAAGTAATTTAATTCTCCTGAAGTAGGTACATACATGCCCCATACATACTAGGAGGAAGTTTCTGACCTTTTCCTTTTTCTCTCTTTTTTTTTTTCCCCCGGCACTTACATACATTCAGTACTTACTTACATACATACATACATACAACGCTAGTCCCATCCGAGTGATGGCGCCGCTGGGGCGATTGATTGGATGGGATTGGATGGGATTGGATGGAGCCTCTCCGCTTTTTTGCGGTCAGGTTCCCTTGGCTCGCTGCGAACTGATGTCATCTTGTTCATCGACTCAACCTCAATGTCAGTCTTTTGACACTTGAATCTGGGACTGCCACCATGTCAAGGTTTAATCGAAGAAAAGTTCCTCGGGGATCCCTCGGTATTTGCTCTTGTGATGTGAATTGATGTGTCTCCCGTGGCAGTGAATGATAATGTGGGTGCTAATGTGATGACGATACGATCTACGCATGAGATCTTCTGCTTGCGTGTCTGGTGCGTAGAGGTTCCCGCAATAAGTTCCAACGTTTGGCCCTGACCCCAGTACAGTCGAGACTGAATACATACTCTGGAAATCTGGAACGTGACCCGAGTAGGTATACTTTCTGTCCACCGTACGCAGTTCAATCTCTACCTTGCAAATATTATCCTCTACAAGCACCGGGTCGGTCGGGTTGAGAAAAAAAAAAAAAAAACCATCAGACAAAGTTTACATTCATCAGGTTATCTGATTTTATAATTTGTTTTCCCCCTTACCGTCACAAAAGGGTATAACAAGCAAGGTGAATGTATCCTGCAGCGACCTCTGCAAAAAAAGATCCCACCCCAATTAAATCGAGTACTCGTGATAATAATAATAGTAGTAGTAGTAGTAAGTAGTAGAGGGCCAAAGAAAAGAAACGGCACACATATGCAGTGACTCCATTCCGGGCTCGAGGAAGAATGCACGCGGAGAAAAATACAAGAACAAGCGTGGGACACCCGAGGCGGACGTGTTGAGCAAAATAAGAATATACCGACCGCAACGCCAGAGACCACGGTCCTGCGCAGTAACTGTGCGGACCTCGAAAGACAAGAAAGATCAAATGCTAAGTCGAGAATGCAGCGAAACTAGCATCAACGGTTCATTTCATATAGGACATGAAGAAGGCCCATTCAGTCTATTCGGTCTTCCTTCAAATCCTTCGAATACGCTTTCTGCACGTGTCGGGAGCCTCTGCCATCCAATTCGAGCATGAATAAGATGTCTCGGACCTGAACCCCCGAGCCCTTGTCTTTGTCCTCCCGCCACATTCCCAGTCGCTTCGCGGGCACGATGGCTTGTTCACGGCCAGGCTTCTCGGAACTCGTCCCGCTTGGGGTTGCGGTACTGACACGTGACGGTGTAGAAAAACCACTGCTGGTGGCTGCTGGCCCCCGATTTAACCACGAGTAGGACTTCTTGGTTCCAAACATACGACCAGAGAGCATGCTATTGGTGGCGAGTCGTGCGGTTTCCACAGACTGCTGGTGTTGCTGGGCCTCGCTTGCCTTCGCATCCATGAGCTTCTTAGCCTCTTTCTTAGATATTCCCTTCTTATCGATGCTCGGCGCTTTGTCGGGGATCGGTGTAGAGGCACCGGAGCCAGGTATATCTACGGATTCGGCCCTCACGGGGCCGCCTTCGCCTAGGATCGCGTTGGTACTGCGCTTGGCGCGTTTGGCAGCTCGGCTTTCTTCGCTAGAATTGTCCCTTTCCATAAGCGCACGATATTTCTCAGCTAGTGATTTGGCTGCAGGTTGCTCGGTCGCTGAATGAGGTCCTATGTTTTGCTGTTAGCCAACGTCAGAAAAGTTCATCTACCAAGAGTTCAACACACGTTTGAGTGGCGTTTTGTCAACTGCCCCCGTCCCGTTGGGGGCACCAGCCGAGACAGCCATGTCCTTGAATTCAACAGGTACAACTCCATGTGAGTGGGCACGTCGGCTTCGTGCGAGCGTAGAAGAGTAGTCGATGACGCCCCGCAATCGCTCTTCGCAAGAGATTGACATCAAGTTCAGTATGTCCACCAACGGTGCCCCTTCTTGATTTAAGATGGTCTGCCCAGTACGTACAACAGATGATCCGTCGGGCCCAGTAACTTCGATCGGTTGCGGACGGCCTGGTACCGGATGAAACAAGCCTTCGGCTGGTATACGAACCCCAAGCTCAAAGCCACGTCGTTGCAATTTTTGCTCCAAAACTTTCGTCAATAAGAATGGTTCTTGCAGGTGGTACTGAGCACGTCTGGCGGCTTCGGTATCCTCTCGTGTTGGTTCATTGGGGTCTTTAAACGGAGCGGGGGCTGCTGGTGGTGGCTCAGAATAGAATGATTCCTGAGTTGCTGGCGGTTTGTATGGTGAAGGTTCTGTGAAGCTAGGTTGTGTTGATACTGTTGAAGCTTGTGATGTAAAGGATGTATTCAGCGGAGGTTGTGGCTGCTGTTGCGTGAGAGGTTGTTGGGGTCTTGGTGGCTGCTGTGCCTGGGTCCCCGGAGCTGAGTAACTACTGGTAAGAAACGCCTCCTCCTCCCTAACATCGATACCGGATGAAGCCAGGACATCTGTAAGCTCTGCGGCATCTGTCGCTTTCTCTACTGGTCGAGAAGGTGGTCCCATGGTGCCTGCAGGTGGGGGAGCGGGTGTTTGTGGTGTTTGTTGACCTGTACCGTTCAGATTCGCTCCATTTACAGGCATCGGTTGGTTTTGGGGGAGTTGTAGCGTTCCAAAGCTCGGTGAGGCATAAGGTGATTGTGGGAGAGGTGAGAGGTGTTGTCGTTTGACCGGTGGAGGGACGCCACCATTCACCGGGGAAGCTGCCCCCGGAGAGGGGGAGGACCCCGGAGGGGAGAAAGACTGGGAGAACTGCTGCGGTTGTGTTTGCGCCATGGTGGCTTGTGTTTCTCGGTTTTTAGGTGATAAACTCGTACAGGATATCGCTTGTAGTTTCGGTCACGTCTATCGAGATGCAAAGACCACGCCCGCGCGAAAGTCGAAACTGAGCGGATTGCTCGAACCGCCACCACCACCAACTGTAACCATCTCAGGAAATAGCGTCCAACATAGAGTCGCCAAACAAATCCAACAAATGTACCCTCACAGAAGAATAGATGCGTGCGTGGTGAATAGACCGGGTCTAACCGTGTTGTTCGCAGATGGAAAGGGAGCTTTTCCTTGACAAGATTTGCGGATCCCGCTGGGGTCACGTGTCAATTAGGTAAGTCGGGCGGCGGAAGCGCGTTTCTTTTTGTTCTAACTGTTACGCCTATGCTCTTTGAGATCAACACGGATTGGCAGAGTTGCGCCAGGCATCAGTCGGGGAATTCTCATTCACCGCTGCCATTCAGAT